TCTGACAGGACCTGCCTCGAATGAACCCATGTTGGTTGCCCCTAAGCATGATCTCCCCTGCTGGTCCCTCGCACATGTGCTCCTGGATAATTTTCTCAAAGAGCTTCCCCAGGACTGAGGTAAGACTAATGGGCCTGTAGTTTCCTGGGTACTCCTTCCTCCCTTTTTTGAAAATGGGGACCACATTGGCCCTTTTCCAGTCCTCCGGCACCTCACCAGAGCACCATGAGTGCTCGTAAAGTTGTGCCGGGGGTCCGGCAATGACCTCTGCTAATTCTCTCAGTACTCTGGGGTGAAGATCATCAGGACCTACTGACTTGAACACGTCTAGACCCACCAGAAGTTCCCTGAGTAGGTCCTCACTGATCCTGGGCCTGGCAGCATATCTTTTGCCATATTTTTTGGTGATCTCCAAAGTATTATGCAGTTGTATCTGGCACATCTAAGCAAAAGGCATTTCTACAGTTGTGGATTATTTGCAATACCTACTTCTCAGTGCCTGAAAGTCAAAAGTCCTCAGGTGTTTCTGGAAGCTTTTTCTTTGTTTTTTTCTATAACTAAAGGAGATCAAATACAAAACTAGCCTGTAGACAAATGTCAACTCTTATACTTAAAGAGGAATCCCTACAATATGACTCACATAATAGAATATGAAGAAACATACTGTCAGCTTTGAACCTGATCTGGGGATAAATAATGGATCTTAGTTTTTAGTGTTCCCAAGCACGTTACTGAGGCACAAAAGAAGTTTTAAAACCGAAAACTGAAAATTCTTCACATAGAATTCAGTCCTTTTGCCATACTTTGCCTTCAAACCCACCATCTTAAAACTCCTCCTCTTTCATCTTGGTTGTTGCTCTCTCTAACCAAACTAGTTCCAGCTTTGAGAGAATTCTGTTTCTTTTCTCACAGGCCTTTGTGTTTCCTTCCATACTTGAAGTGCCCTCCCAAAGCCTGTTTGTTAAGTCATCTGACTCACCACTTCCAGATCTTTTCCAAGCACTCATATAGCTGCAAAGCTGTTACGAAGCAGTGGAGGAAGGGGAATATTAACATAACTGAACCACAGAGAGGGCAATGTGGTTTATTAAGCAGCAATGTATCATCATCATCACTATCTCTTTACCTGCGTTAGGGTTAAACCAGTTTATGCAATGTCTGTCCCATACCCCTTCCTGGTTTAAGTTAAATCAGAGTCCACCAGCATCCTGGCATGCTGTCTGGGCTGGGCAAGGCTCTCTGCCTTACAGCAGAGCAGGCCCTTCTCCTCTGCTCCCTGGCCAGAGCTCTGGCAGAGACTGCAGGCATCTGCCTGGCTTCCCCCTGCTCCCACCACCCCACCACGCCCTGCTAAGCAGGGATCCCCTGTCCCCTCTGCCTTACACAGATACCTATCAGCATTAGCTAGCAAAGCACATGCTGGCTAGATCCATGCTGTGGGAGATGGGACAAAGGGAGACAGGACAGGCTTGGGGCTCTTTAGAGCTAATCAGCCAGTAGTTGGTAATGTCCTTCCTTCTTTGGAACAAGTTGTTTAAGAAGAGCTTGAACTAATGAGAGATCCTTTTGTTTTGGTAATGCGGTGATAAATGCTGTGTAAAACCCCTGCTGGCTCTCTCACTGATGAGCAAGGAGGGGAACCCCTCCCTAATCAGAGCCTCCTGTTGGGGCCTGGCCATTGCCCCCCCTCCTACCCCTGCTCAGCTCAGCACCAAGGAGGGGAAGGGAGGGCTGCTCTAGCACCCCTAGCTTCTAACCTGAGCCACTGCAGGCATGTGCCTGCATTTTCTCAGACCAGAAGGGATTCTGTGCAGTTACAAACTGATTCAGTCTAGGCAGGTTATACTAACCTGCAAAGATTGACTCAATTCAGGCTCAGACTTTCTGAATGTCTGTCCCTAGCCTATGTGGCCCTGTGTTCGATGAATCCAAGTTAAGTTCTGTGTGCAGGCTCTTCTGAGTGAACAAAGTTATATGGACTATCTATAGTCAACTAATTTGATGCCTCATTATTAAACTAATTTGATGCCTCCCAATAGACAAAACTTATTTTCCACATATACCTGTACTCTTGCATTATAATATATACAAACACTTTACTTGCTTGCCCCCTGTTCCCAGGTGAATATGTATTTAGCATTGTTTGTACTCAACTACAGATTTTCTAGAACTATACAACAGCAACCTATCACCACAGTACCCCAGGACTCACATGACCCCATCCATTCTACAGCAATGTGAACATGGGGAGAATCTGCTGAGAAACTGCAGGTTCTGGAGTTAGAACTTAACAGCCACTTATATATTGCAAGCTTTCTGAGACAGACTTCTAGAAATTGTCCTGAATGTCCTGGGTTTTGACCCATATCAAAACATAAGAGGCACAACCACTTTCCTAGATGCTTTATTTCTCCTCTGCCATTATGTGGCAAGCAAACAACACACAACCTGACAGGCTTGTCTCAGAAATGTGTCACAATAACCTTAAAGATACTTACCACATTCTCTGAGAAAAAGCACCACCTGCATACTTCACAGGTATATAGAATCATAGAAAGTGAGGGTTGGAAGAGACCTAAGGAGATCAAGTAGTCCCTGCTCAAAGCAGGACCATCCCCAAGTATGTCATCCTGGATCTTAAAAACCTCCAAGGACAGAAAAGGGGTAATCTGTTCCGATACTTTCCTACTCTCCAGGCCTACCTACATATGCATTTATGCTGGCTTAAATTTACTGTGCAGTAAGTGGGAATAGGATGGTGTTTACAGGTGCAGACATTACAGCACATTAAATGCTGTGTGTGGACTGACTTGAAACTAAAGCTAGTCGGAAGTCAGTCCACACACACAGTGTTACTGCGCAGTAAGATGTCTACATGTGCGTTACTGTGCAGTAACGCACATTAGGCACAAATTTGATATCTGCATGATACAGGTATCAAATTTATGCTCAAGTTGGCCTTATTTACTGCATAGTACAGGCATGCATGTGTAGATATGTGCCCATACTGCACAGTAATTTCGGTTACTGCACAGTAGGGCTGTGCGAAGCTTTGGTTGTTGATTCGATTCAGAGGAGATTCAGCCCAATTCAGTGACCGAATCTATGAATCTGAATCAAATCAGGAAACCCATTAATCTCTCCAAATCAAATCAGAAGCCTCCGAACCAATTCAGAGAGATTTGGAAAGATTCGATGATTAGGCCATAGACACAGCTTTATATTTTTTTTCTATATACCTTGAGACACCAGGTGCAGCTCGTGAATGCTGAGATGGCAGGGCAGATGGAGTATCCCATGGAAGGTCCCGGAAGCAGACCAGAAGTATTTCCAGGCCACTTCTGGGTCTGCTGCAGAGTGTGCAGGGTCCCCCCTGACCCCCAGCTTGGCAACTGGTGCCTCCTGGGTTTGGAGGGGCACATGGTGTCCCCCCATGGCCGATTGCTGAGCTGGGAGGGCACAGGGAAGTCTCAGTGGCGACCCAGAAGTACTTCCAGTCCACATCCGGGTCCACTGCCAAGTACATAGGGGACTCCTCTGCACTCCCATGGGATGCTCCATCTGCCCCACCATCTCATTGTTCACGAGCTGCACCTGGTACCTAGAGGTAAGTAAAAAAATATATAAAGCTGTGTCTATGGCCAAATCGCTGATTCTCCGAATCAGAATTGAATCTTCAGATTCAGCCGAATTGAATTGGGACAGTGATCCAAATCAATGAACTGAATCACTGTCTCCTGAATCGGGCTGAATCTGAATTGAATACTGCCTGCTTTGTACACCCTTACTACACAGTAAATGCGCACATGCAGACGTGCCCTCCTAGTAAGAAAATTCTTTAGAATATCTAACCTAAACTTCCCTGCTGCAAATTGAGACCATTGTTCCTTGTTCTGCTCTACTTGAAGCAGACCACCTGTAGGATTCTGGCACAAAAGGCTTTCTTTCAAGGGAAATGTTATGTGTGTTTACAGGCTATTGACTTGTTGACCATTGTTAAACACAATGAGGATCTTATTTCAGGCATTGCCATAAACACAAATAAATAATTTCTCCATATACATATGAACAGAAATGGGCACACTTAAAAAAATGGTAAAAATTGCATACAAGCTTTAGCACAGATATTAAAGAGTATCCTAAGTACACAGTATCCTGAATATACACTTAAAACTCATGTGGATGCATTGTTTAAATACAAAGAGCCATTTTCCTTTGAAATGACACAAGTTTTACCCACTGTAATTACTAATGGTAGCTTTTCAGAGTGCATTATATGGATTGGTTTTTTTTCCAGATGAGATATGAAAAATAAATATAAAGGATAATATGTGACTTGGGATGTTCAGAGTGTCAAAGCAGGAAATACCTTCATCTCTGTTTCTGTGGAACTTTTAGGTAACAAATTTTAACTGGGAACTGTAAAAAGCAATGAGAATTTTTTTTAACTGTTGATAAATATACTTGTAGACTGAAAACAAAGGAAAGAATGAGTAGTCAAAGTGTTGTACTAATACAATAAGCAGAAGATACCACACCTAGGTCACGAACACTTCTGTATCAAACCTTCTGCATCAAAATTTATTTAGCATGTTTAAACATAAGAAAAAGGAGGATTGAAATATATAAAGAAAGTTCACCACAAAAGAGAAGAAATTCTGCACCTGCATCTCAATGATCCTTCACAAAACATTAGTAAAACACACCAAAACATAAACACAGCAGCTCACATTGGTTCCTGGGAAGGAATGGAATTATTGTATTAGGTGTGCTCTAATAAACATAAAAATAGAAGCTTCAGTCCAATCTGAAGAAAGATGATTGCTAAAAGAAGAAAAAGTTTAATAAAAGTTCAGACAGATCATATCAATCTATTCTTTTCTCCTAGGATTATTAACTAAGCAACTTCAACACTTCACTCATATGACTACATTATAATATATACATATTCTACATTTTTAATGGCACAGTATTGAAGAAAAAACAAATCTGGTTCCTACCAGTTTGGCTGAGTTGGGAAGTGCTGCGGCTTTTTCGTGACAGACCCACAATTGCTACCATCTTTGCACCAATGCTGGAGCGTCTTTTTTTGCCACCGGTGCCCACAGTGCCTACTGCTGTGTCAGACTGGCTGCCATCATTCTTCTCTAGTGTGTACATGTCCCCACCGATGCTGGTGCTCTTAGTCATGTTCTTTCCTGAGGCGCCCATCTGTCTGCTTTGCATTTTGGATGTAAAGACACTGTCAGCCGATGGATGGATAAATAGTGCAGACAAAAGAAAAGGAGAAAAGGGAAGACAGAAAAGGACAGGTTTCAGACAAAGTTTTGGGAAGTTGTAGGGTCAAAGCAGCTAAATCATACAGATGGGGTTTGGAAGTAAGGAGAAACAACTTTAACTGTCAAGCTCTTAAGTTTTCCTTACCATGTAATGGACATGCCACAATGTTGTTTTTAAATTATCTGAGGCTTTCCTCCTGTTTAGTACATTTTTAATGGAATACAATTTCCCCACTTCAGGTGACTTTATTTGTTTTCCCCCAGTGGAAACAGAAAAGCCCAGTGAACAAGCTAGATTTGACTGATCAAATGCTAAATACATTTGTATTTGTAAAAGCAAGGAAATCATTATGTATTTCTCATATACAGTTCTTGCTTGTTTTTTATTACTCCAATATTATCTTTCCAAGTTTAAACCTTGGCTAATCAAATTATATATATCAGTTCCTCCAAATTACCACTAAGTAGGTTCTGAAAACTGGTTAGGTAGAAATTGCCTAGGTCTGGCAAGAGCGGCAAAGCAAACAGAGTATAGAAAGTAAAATTTATGATGTGACTTTACTGAACTTGAGATTCAGTGCTGCAGAGTCCCTAAATAGATAAGGAGATTTTTAATTTTTTTTTTGCTTGAGTAGGCTCTTTTATGCAATTAAATATTTGCAGTATACTGACATTTAGAGATGTTTTCTTATAAATGCATGTGCTCAGCATCTCATGTATATCAGCACTTTTCAGGCCTTTTCATACTTCTGATCCCTTGGTGAGAGAATCTCGCAAGAACAAAAATCACTTCCAGCCTCCCTGTCCATATCCTACACTATCCCCAGAGTAATTATGGTGCTTGATTACAATACAAGAGCAATCCAAGGACACTAGTAAAGAGACCACATGAAAATAAGATCACTTGAGTACAGTGAGCACATATGATTTGTTTCTTTCCCTCATTCCCATTTTGTTTCTCCACTGAACTTCAGTTGGGCTTTACACTAAGCAATGCCATATTACTTTTCTTGCATGCAGACCCACTATTCTGTGTAAAGGACAGTGCAATTTGGTTGTGTCTTCTATGCTTGTTGTCCTCTAATGGCCAGTAAAGAAACACCTGACACCAAATGTCCTAAAGTAGCCCCACAATTGAAGAAAGGAGTTTGATTTTGTGGGTGGGGGTTGGGAAAGATGAAGAATTGCTTGGACTTAATGCTGCTTTCTGGTTTACTTGGTTAAAGAAATACTGTGGAGACCCTAAATGCCCCTAACCTGAAAGGTAGTAAATGCCAAGCCATTACTGCAGAAACAGCTCAGTGACAACACAGAAATTCTCCATTGACCACAATTTGAGAGATCTATGTCACCGCCAATATACAGTTTGATGAAGGTGGGAGGGACAATCTGAGAAACACAATACAGGGGTAGCAAGGAAGCTACAATCCATCTTTCAGACAACAGAAATACACAGAATGCTTTACAGTATGGCAGTGTGTGCTAACTCTGAGTCTGATTCTATAAGCTCCCCATGCTGACCTCAGTGAGACTTCTTTTTGTGTAACAGTTGACCTTTTGCTACTTCCATTTTGTAAAATTCCACTTTGGGTACGACACTAGACAATGAAAATAAATGGCTTGAGCAGATGAAACAGTTATATTAGCGCAACTGGTATTACATCAGTGTAAGAAGTAGAGGATAGATTACGTAAACTTGTAAACCAAGGGAACCTTTGGCCAACCTGATGGAGAGTTACCCTGACAGTTACATAGGTTTAGATTTTTACTATCTGTATTTATCCTGAACCATTTACTAAAGGCTATTGCCTGCTGCTTTGTTGTTTAGTGAGATGGTCTCTAGCCATGGCCTTATATATTTAATTTTCTGGCACTCCCCCTGTTGCTTCAGGAAGTCCAGCACTAGACTATCAAAATAAATGGCTTGTGGAAAATAAATAGTATAAATAAATGTACTATGTGGAAAGCCAGCTCTACTGGCCTGTGAAAAGAATTTTTGTCACAACTGTACTTCCTTCCTACTACCTTGGAAGTGAATATAGGACTGTAAAAGTGTTCATCCCTACTGGGGCTAATTTTATGACAATTCATTACTTGTGAAGCTACTCATAGGTAATCTGTTTTGTATCCATTTTGAAGAGTTATAAAGGGTAGCATTTCTTTCAGCACTTGCAAACACTTGCATTGTTTATTATTGTTTACAAGCTCATCAGTTCTTATAAACTCATGCAAACCTACAATTTCTACTCTTTGGGTGACATAGTCTACATCCCCCTCTGCAAAGATGGGAAAAACCAGTGAACAAACCAGACATAACTGAACAAAACAATTGTTACATCAACACGTGACTGGAAATCTGCTGACATTTTGGTACCTACTGCACAAGTCAATCTGCAGTAGTGATCTAACAAGACATTGCTAGATACTATCTATAAATGCTAAAGGGCAAATATGTGAAAGAATACTGAATACATTTGATTGTGAAAAGTAAAAGCAATACCATACCTTCCATACCTACAAGAGATTAGCAAGAATGGCAGGGGGCATTAGTAGACTTGTGTTAGGTAAACCCAATCTTGCAATATGCACAGCTTCTCCCTTCTAGGCAAACACTATCTACTGGAAGCATGCACTGATTGGCTTTGACACTCTTCCTGAAAGGATAGCGGACTACTGAGGAAAGGTAGGTGGCCAAAACAGTTTGGAAGGATTTCCAGGGTAAGTTGTTTGCCTTGAGGCAGGAGGAGAAGGAGCTTGAGGAAGAGATGAACAGGGAAGAGTGGACACAACTTAAAGCTTAAGGTGAGCATGTCTGGCATAGGCCTTGTAGGAGAGACTGAGTAAAAATAAAGCTGGGATGGGAGAGATCAAATTTGGCATGAATCTGCCACTGAAGAAATTTGGAATACTTTTTGCCATCCATTGACTGCTGCATAAGGAAAAGAAAAAAGTAGTCTGCCTGGGACCAAAGGAAAAGATGAACAAAAGAAATGGCAGTGCTAGGAGTGAGTTTTTTTGAGTAAATACAATTTAGTTAAGAGAGAAAAAAGTCTTCAGTCTGGAGAAGAATGAAGAGAGATTTGAGACTAGTTTGTAAATACAAAAGGGTGGTTATAAAGAGACTAGGCTATAGATAAAGAGGTGATGATAGGCTCTTCTTTGTGGCTGCAGGGGACAGGACAAAGAACAATCATCTTAAGTTGCAACAAGAGAATTGTAGGTTGGATACTAGGAAAACTTTCTTCCTATAGAGAAAAATTGGAATAGATTACTTAGAGAGGTGGTTCCCATCCCTGGAGCAGGTTAGACGAACACTTCACTGGGGATGGTTTAGGTAGGGATGATCTTATCTGAGGAGATGATTAGATTTAAAAAGATCCCTACTTTTCAACTATTCTATTATTTTTAAGGCTTTTAACCAGCAAATATGCTTACTCAGCATTCATTTGATCTTCAAAACTATAAAAGTTGCCAATAAAAAGAGAAATTTGAAAGCATGTAAATTTCTGATTTACAAAAGTGTCTTAGACAAAAAAACAGACTTACAGTAGGATCTTTGATAACTGCTTCTCCACATTACACACGAGATGAATAGTAAATAGGAAAGAAACATCTAAAAATCAGGACCCAGTTATATCCTACATAAGAAAATTTCATTGTTGGCTTACGAAACTATGTCAACTAACTTGCAGATTTTTTTACTCACGGTCTTACTGTTGGATTCAACTTTAACTTGCCTTTGGAGTGAACAGTTTCGGTCTCAAAGGCTGTTCCAGATACAGTGTTAGTACAGAGTGGTCTCAAAACATTGGAAGGAAATCTTACAGTTACTAGGAATGGAACTGGGTGGAGAGGGTAAAAATAAATCTTTTCTAAGGTCCCCACTTTGTGCCACAGGGAAACACATGGGGAGTCTGAGTTAGCCAATCAGGGCTGTCCTATGCACTGCTGCCATCTGTCACCAGCCAGACTAAGGGAACCTGCAGAGCATGCTAAGGTGTGTGCACAGAGGCCTGGTGGCTGCACAGTGTTCTCACTGTAAGCTCTCTACTCTTCAGGGCCTTAGCATTTAAATGTCTGTATGTGTAGCTTTGGGTAAGTTATTCTACTTGAAGAACAAACCTGGGAAAATTCTCCCAAATTATTTGAGTGTGTATACATAACCTTAAGCTATTTAGGTCCCCTTATGTGCAAGCCCTCAAGGTGCTTAAACTGCTGTCATGCAAACAAAATTACTATAATTTCAGTAGACAGAGCATTATTTCTCCTTAATAAAGTACAGTACAACCTCATTATAACAAACCCTCATGGGACTGAGAGAAAAGTTAATTAAAAGAGGATGCTCACTGTAATAGGGTTAGTCAACTTGCTGCATCATAATAAAGAAAAATTGATTCCTACTGTTGGGATTGTTAAAAGTGAGGTTTTGGTACAACAAACCATGATCATAAGGAATCTGTACCTATTTGAAAACGTGGCTAGTTAACCAAGCTCTTAAGTGCAGTGGTGAGAACATATGGAAACAATGTTCTGCTATATCTACTTACGGACAATGTAAGTGGATGTTTTCCAAAGCTAATTAGAGTATAGGCAAACTCAGCTGCTAAACTGTATGAAAGGTTTCAAAGCATAAGTAAAAACAACTGGTTTTGAAAGTATACTTGGTTTGTAAATGTAGGCCAAAACCCCCTAATTTTTACCAGTATTGGATTTTCTTTTAGAAGTTTGCTTTACGTAAACTGCCTAAAGACCAGCGGTGAGAGTGTTCTGGCAAGAATCACAGTAATAAACCTAGGTCCTAATGAACACGAGAGGGGAAATAAGAGTATTTTTTCACCTTCCCCAGCCAGTAGTGTATTTTTTTTCCTTCTTCATAAGTATAAATTATAGGTATCTTTCACAGGATATTATGCTTCTGAACAATGACCTCTTAAGTCAG